GACCAGCTCTAACGGCTATTTTTCTAGTTTTCATTTTTTTGTCATTTTGCTGGATTTCACTTGGGTTTTGAGCTTTGTTTCTTCATCCTATATATACCCTATATCATTTCACTTCTGAACTAAGGAGAGAAATTTTAAAACAAGTTTAAAAAAAAAATTAGTTTGTTTTAAGTGTTTGTTTACAAAATTCGTTTTGTGAAGATTGTTTTACAAGAAGATGAGATCAATTTCAGTTTGCGCTTTCAATCTTCCAATCCCTCTCTCTTGTGATTAGAGAAGTGTTTCTAAACTCATATCTCTAGCTTGTTTATACTTTAATTGTTATCCCTCTCTCTTGTGATTAGAGAAGTGTTTCTAAACTCATATCTCTAGCTTGTTTATACTTTAATTGTTATATTCATATTTGCTAGATTTAATTGAGTTTCTAAACTCATATCTCTAGCTTGTTTATACTTTAATTGTTATATTCATATTTGCTAGATTTAATTGAGTTTATATTTGATTTTATCATTGCTTGCACACGCAACCATTGAGCTTAACTATTTTCACATATTGTATAATCTGGATTACGGTGAGTGTAACCTTGAGAGTGAGCTTAAATTATGTTCTCACCTATTGTAGAGAACAAAATCTTGTATTTGAGCCTTATTATGAGAGTTCACCTTGTAATACACATTTACACCAAGAGGAGTGTGTGGTGAGGACGTAGTCGATACCAAGAGGAGTGACATCGGTAATAAAGCCTAAAGAGAGGTAGTAAAGCCGAGCACTTGAGGGAGGTGATACGTGGGACCATCACTTAAGGTTGTAGTTTGTGTATGTACATTGTGAGAGATTTGTAGAGTTTTCGGTGAGCTAGAAAACCGAGTGTATAGAGAAGTTCTGGCTTCCAAATCGGGTGTGTCGATAGTGGAGTTCTCCCCGGGAGTAGGGAGCGGAGACGTAGGACGGAAGGTCCGAACTCTGTGATCATATTATTGTGTTTAGATTGCTCTTTATGTCCATTATTTGTTTATTTTGTTTCTTTTTTATTTTCCCATTTGCATATATATCATTTCATATATCTTATTGAATATCATCATTGTTAGGATATATTTGTTAATTAATTTTAATCGGTATTAATATCTAATAAGATTATCAATAACCCTATACACCCCCCTCCCCCTCTATGGTACTTTCAAAGATCATAACAGTGAAGGCTTGATACGCAGTAGGTATCTCAGAGCGATTTTTAAGTAAATATATCCATGTATAACAAGAGAAATCATCGATAAAACTAACATAATATAAATAACCAGATGAAGAAGGTAGAGGAGCTAGCCTCCAAATATTGGAATTGACTAAATCGAATAAGGAAGTGGAGGCAGATGTACTGGTTGGAAATGGTAGAGCAGTAAATTTAGCTAATTTACAACCAGTACATGTCTCAATACGAGGACTAGATGACACAGGACCAAGTACTACGGACTGAATAAGACTCTCCAGTCTTTTATTGGATACATGATCAAGTCGTCTATGCCACAAATTGACGGGAAGCAAGACAGAAGGTTTTGATGAACAAACAGAAGTAACAAGAGAATATGGATGTATGGACTCTGGAAGGTAAAGATATTCTAGAAAATATAGCTTGTGTCTCCTATGACCAGCCCCAACAGTCTTACCCATCTGTGAATCCTGCACAAGATAAGTAATAGAAGAAAATGAGACTAGTAGGCCAGCCATACATAAAGAACTAATAGAAATTAAATTCAAGCACAACTGAGGAGCCACATAGACGATGCCAAGTGTTAGACAACCAGATGGGTTATTTTGTGGAGTGATAGAGCCATACTGAGTGATAGGCAATGGTTGTCCAGCAGCCGTGTAGACAGTGAGAAGAGTAGATGAAGTGAAGACGGATGATAAGAATGAGGCATTACGAGTCATATGAAAGGAACAGCCAGAGTCAAAAAATCAAAAGATCATTCATACCAAAGACTTGTGTAGTTGATGAGTCAACAAGACCAGACAGTAATATAGAAGTGGTATGCTGAAGAGCATCAAGTTGACGGCGAAAATTTTCAATAGCTTGAATAGTAGTGTTAGAAGTAGTAGATGGTATAGTATTGGCCAGCGATCCTGGTGAGCAAAAGAGTTGAGACTAAGGGGGTCGTCGACCATGACGGCTATCTGAGGAACGTAACTCAGGATGAAGTTTGAAGCATTTCTCAATACGGTGTCCCTCCTTCTTACAATATGTGCAAAAGATCTTAGATCGAGTCTATTGAGAAGTACGATTCATAATAGGAGCACTGATTGGTTCAGACAGAACAGTCTCAAGTAAAGAGGCATGAGCATTTGTTGTCAAATTGAGTCGTGCGATCTGCTGCCGTGTCTCATAAGCAGTGAGAACTCCCATAACCGAGGCCAAAGTCAAAAATTAAGGCTGATAAAGTAGTTGGTCAGCCATAGTTGAATATTCAGGAAGGGACTGAAACAATTGATGCACCTCGCGCCGTTAATACCAGGCTAGCCAGTCTTCGTATGTGGAATCACGTCTAGGAAGCATGGAGTGTAATTCTATCCGATAGGCTTGCATTTGTCCAAAAGTAAGACTGCGGAGAGGAACTATATTTGCGTTGTATAGTAACACGTTACAGAAGATATGTCTCTCGTGCACCGGAGCACTCTATGAAGCGCTTAGTGAGACGACTCCACATGGCCCGAGCAGAGGGAAGCAAGCCAATCTCGTCAGTGAGACCAGAGCCAACACAGCGAGTAAGGTAATCCATGACACAAAATTCCTGTAACTATCAGTCCGAACTCTCCTTGACATAGAGAACACATGCGGTTTTAAGATTAGTATCACCACTGCCAGATGTAACAATATTGGAGGAAGCAACAGTGATGATGGACGATGAAACTAGTCTCAAACTGGTGAGATGATCAAGCAGACCAGTACCACACAAGGTATTTGTGACAATAGTAGGCCACCCTGCCTAATCACTTTGATCATTGAGGGACTAGGGTGGTTTAGGGATCTTTTCTGAAGGAGCCATATTAATAGCAATGTTGAGACGTTGGGACCCACAACGGATCAACGCCGATGTTGAGACGTCGAGATAGATTGAAACAGTGATGCCGTTACTGACTGTGAAATGATGATGCCGTTCGTTTGAGATCGGGAGACGGCTTGAAACGACGATGCCTTTAATTTGATACTGAGAGACGGTCTTGAAACAGCGATGTCGTTAAATTGAGACCAAGAGACGGTCTTGAAACAGCGATGTCGTTACTGAATATGAAATGGCGATGCCGTTCATGTGAGCTAAGAGACGGCTATCACGGAGGCTGTGATGTGAAGCACGGAGGCGACAACGAAGAGGCCGCAATGCGGTGAGGCCAAGATTTGGCAAAAAAGATTAACCTCGCTCTGAAACCATGTTGAGAGAGAGAGAGAGAGAGAGAGAGAGAGAGAGAGAGAGAGAGAGAGAGTCTTGGGGTAAATTTCCCTAAGGTAAAGTATTGAATGTGTACACATACCTATATATATACAAGTAGAGAATGGTGATATGTCCTCTCATAACCAATGTGGGACTAAACCTAATTTCAATAATAGCACAACAATCTAGCTTAGTAATGTTGTATTATTATTTGCTTACAATATTGTTGTAATTTATTATGGGAATATTACTTTCCAACTAATCAAGGTTAGTTTACAAAAGCTTACATACTTTTTGATTAGGAAAGAAAAACGAGGTTTGATTCCTAAAACTATATATATTTTTCGGTAAAGTCCACTAAATCTTAACCCCATCAGATCTGAACCCCCAAGCTCTTGGGCCTTCCTAAAAAATCCCATACAACTTTTTACTCCCCGCACCACCCCCCACGCTCAAAAAAAAATTAAAAAAAAAAAAACACTATGGCCCCTAACGGGTCCATTGAGTTTCTCTGAAAATCTATCAATTTTTTCTGGGTTTTTCTTAAAATAATGTTGAAAATTGGCTTTAAACACAAAATCAATACAGTGATTAAAGTGTAGAGCTTTTTCCTTTGGTAGGCCATAATAATAATTTGTTAGAACTGGAAAGACCACAGCTAACTTAGAAGAACTAGACTAATCCACGTACACCCATTTGACTGGAAATAATTAATCTGCATCTCACTACATTTCTAATGAGACTAAATTCTGTTGCATGCATTTTGGCTTATCAAACTCACAATCAAATTGATGTGAGACACTCCTCAAATAATTCAAGACGAAAGAATTCAAGATGCTTGAATCACTTTTGCACAAAAATAGTATAAAATTTTACAATTTACTTAATACTATTTATCTAGAAACCCCAAGTTAATTTAGAGTCCCAGTTCAATCAAATCTTTCAAACAAACCAACATCCTTATCAGACAACGAGACAAGCTTGTGTAAAAATTTACGTATCCTAGACGGAATATTCTAGACGGAAATTTTTTTTGTTCAATATTGTGTACATGCACCCAAAGTAGGTTCTGCACCAAAAAAAAAAAAAAAAAAAAAAACTACTGTAGCATATCATCCTAGACGGAAATTCCTCCTAGGATGCTCAAATTCCGTCTAGAATGCATTTTTTCAAAAAAAAATATAAAAAAATTAAAAACCATAAATTTCCGTCTAGAATGGGTATTCTAGACGGAAATTTCCGTCTAGAATACTCATTCTAGACGGAATTTTTTTCCGTCTAGGATGAATTATTCTAGACGGAAATTCCGTCTAGAATAATCCGTCTAGGATGTATTCTAGACGGTTTTGAATTCCGTCTAGAATAATCCGTCTAGGATGTATTCTAGACGGAATTTCCGTCTAGAATACAACATCCTAGACGGAAACATACTAGATGGGTATTCTAGACGGAATTCCGTCTAGAATACGCATTCTAGACGGAATTCTGGGTATCCTAGACGGAATTTTCCGTCTAGGATACCCCATTATTTACCAGTGAAGCTCTGTGCTGAACAGATGTTCTGCTAAAACTCTATGGGACTAATGAATTGCTATAATACAAGAAATGTGGTACAAAAATATCTACACTAAATAACGTTAAAACTTTCAAACAGCAAAAGCTATTGAACAACTGGTGGGGATCCAACAATCAAAGTATAAATCAGAGAATTCCAAGTATCAGGCAATCCTGGAAGACACCAATGGCTACAATCTGCAAATATCTCAGGCTGCTTTCGCTCTTCATCGGTTAAGAGCGTCTTTGCCCTCACAGTGTATACAGATGTATGTGCTTCACGTCGATACTCTGATAACCGCGTAATATTGAGATATTTAACCGGAGTTTTCATTTTCTCTATAGTTTCCTCTACTATAGATATCATTGATTGTTTAAATGACTGTCTGTAAGTTTCGTTGGTGATTGGATGACTCTGGTTGTAACACCAGTTCAAATTATACCTGCAATTGCTCAGACATTTAGGTAAAATTAAACAAATCAAGTATTTGTTTTAGCCACAATTGTAAAATCATTTGTAGCTAGCAAGTTAGCCTCCACTAATTAACTTGATGGTAGACAAGGATCTGAAGCACTCCCGTCCTAAATATTAGAAATTTGGGTGCAATATTTACATACCGCGTATGTTGAGGAGAGATACTGCGAAAGAAAACCCTAGTCTTGTTTGGATTCACCATTCGATCAATCCAGCTCGCCCAAGTATTCAGTCCAGTCTCAAATGCTGAGTCCCCATCCATTTCCTCAACCAGCTTTCCTTCATGCTCATAATAATCCCACCTGCAAATTAATTTAGATTTCAGTACAATACATACAGGACGCAAATATTAGATTGTTATTAGATATTTGAGTTAAATCCCCACGTTTTGGTTCTCCCCTGGTGAGTCCACCAGTGGCCAGTGTTGAAAACCAAGACATCGGCATCTTGCCATTTCCAAGGTTCTACGAGCTCATTGAGCTTCAGCACTTTTGATCCGTTCTTCGTTTGGTCTGCTTTTATTAGAAACGGACTCCAGAAGAATTCCAGAGAGAAATCATAGTCCTTGCATTGTCAAAATCATTACGGATAAGTTAGTATTCACCAATGTGGGATTTGATTAACAGTACTAATTTGAAAATTAATGGAAATTAATATTTGAATGTTGCATGCATTCAGAATCTTGTCTGTCAGCTTTATGCAAAAATAAATAAGTAGCTAGCTAGCAACCAAGAAGTTAGTAATTTGAAAAAAATGAATTAACAAACTATGGATCGTATAAATTGTACCAGAGCTCGAAAGATTTTGTAGGTGTCTGTTAACTTGATATGTGTTCGCGATGGTTGATCAATAGATGAATAAAGGAGACACGCCATCGACTCCCACTGGTTTCTATTAAGAGAATCGCCGACAATTGCCACTCTCTTCCCTCTCAATCTCTCAAGCATATCAGTCCCGTTAAACCTTCAAATTTACAAAAAAACACACATTGAAATTATATAGAAGTTTAATTACGTATTTACTTAAACCAAGATAATTAATGTTCAATTCGTACCTTGGTATATCACAACCTCTTGGTTTCCACCTCCAATGCTCATAGTCCGAGTCTGGCCTCCCGTTTTTCTGGCAAACAACTTGATCGCTAAGAAAAGGACATTGATAATAATGATACAAAGGATAATTCTTAGGATCATAAACCCACATCCCATCAAAAATATCACACTCCTCTTCTTCTTTTATCAACGCCTCCAATTTTCCGTTACCACTGCTATTCAACTTCAAAGAGACCTCCATCTTCACCCGTGTAGACGAAACTACATCGATAGTAGTATTGAGTTGTGAAGATGAAGTATTTTTCGGAGACGAAATTTGGGGAGATGAAATATTTTTAGGAGATGACATAATAGTGAGCTCTCCGTAGTACTCTGTGATCGACACGTTATAATTATTGGTGAAGCCTAAGCTTCTAAGAGATGAAACAATGGTGATGAGATGTTGGCCTTGATCAGGGTAAAGAGAGAGGAAAATGAAGCCAAAAAAGCTGGCGAAGATGCAAAGAGACCATCTCCGGTTGACGACTGAGTACTCCATGAGAGCTTAGTTTGCTTCTCTATTCTTCTATAAACTAATTAAGGACGTGGTGTTTATAAACTAGCTAAGTCAAAATCTGAATCCTATTAGGTACTTTAATATATAGATAAAAGCACCTACCATTTTCAGAGAAGCTTGCCATAATTATGGGGGGTACAAAATAAAGCTCCTATTCCAGTTATGAACCCAATTGTTAATTTTCTCCAACGACTACTAGATCCAATAAGTTCAAAAGCATAGGTGAGCTCAAATATTATATATTCTCTAGAACTGTCCTCTCCCTAAAGATAAGATGGTTACCTTTGTCAACTTGGTATCAGTTAGAGTGCAGTGTAATTAATTTGGTTATATTTTTAAGGGAGCACTACTGGCGCTTAAGGCTCATGGCCCTCGAGAAAGTGATGAGTTGTTTCCGGATTTGTTAGCTTAAATTTGAGCTGGTTGACAATTTGTTTTTATTATATATGTAAATTGGTTAGTTGCACATACTTAGAGTAGACAAAAGAGGCTTGAAATTGAATGTAATTTAGAGCTTCAACATGTGCACAATGTGAGCATGAGAAATAGCAAGTTAGCAAAGGGAATCAAATTTGCATGGACACACTGTAAGGGAACAAATACAACGAAGCTAACGTAACTAAAAAGGGTTATTAATTATTTGGATATGTATACCCCTTAAATCGTGGGTATTTGCAAAAATACTCTCCCAATATTAGCATTTGCAAAAGTTCCACCTCAAATCATCAATAATTGAAACGGTTGAATGAATAAAAAATTTCATTGACCAAAAAAAATTGAAAAAATTACCCTCAAAGCAATTAATTATTAAGTTTGATAAGCTAATTTGTATTCGCAATGTAAAAATTATTAGCAAAATGGTCAAATTTTAGCAACAATATTAGCAGAATGTTTTAGGGCTTAATTAGACGTTGATGATTTATTGATTTATTGATTTTAAGGGCATTTTTCAAAGAACTAGTTCTAACCAATATAATCTGAAAAGGACCCTTACAGATGTGGGATTATACAATCAATAATACGATATGAGAACAAATTTATGTACCACCTTAGACAAGGGCTTTAAATCAGTACGGACAACATACATCTGTATATCTAATAACCAATAACAGCGTGTAAGCCTGTAAGTTGTTAGTAAAATTTCCGCTTTATGATGATTGATTGGATTAATCGGTAGCAACGTTGTGACTCACCTTGAACTTTTAGGTTAATTTTAGAAAATCCTGAACTTGTTCGAGTTTTTTTAAAAAAGTTCTACAAAATCTAGCCTAAGTTTCAAACTGTACATATGTTATAGTATCTATTTTAATAATAAAGATACATTATAGTCTAATAATTAAAATCTTTTTGAACAAATCATAGGTTATGGGTTTAATGACTCATTTAATTTAAAAACTCTCCGTAAGTTTAATATTTGACTCGGACTCGGATCCTAGATCGGTCTAATCAGGCTGAGGTGCTATGATGGTGAAATGGGTGCTTTGTAGGTACATTTTGCACTTTGCATGTTGGCATCAATGCGCGAGGGTGGCGCACTACCGGCACACTGTTGGCAACAATGTTGGCCCTAGTTTCGTTTGAGTTCAATTTTGTGCTAGACTGAGGAGTTCATAGTCCGAAGTCATACTGAGGAGGTCGCCTAATGCCTGAACTTGATCAAGGTGATCGTGGAGGTACTGGTTGGTTCACACTAGTACACTAAATTAAGTTATTCTTCCTAGAAGCAATTTGGATTTGGGATTCTTACACTAGAGTAGGCCGAATATTACTTTAAGTTTAGCGTTTTAGGACGCACAACGAATTGAACCAGTTTTCGACAGCAAGTATTTTAGAAAAGTTTAGATTCCATGCCTTGATATTTCCCGTTTGTTCTAACATAACTTAATTTAAGGTTTTTGCCATTTACAATTCCACCCCCACCCCCACCCACACACACACATCCACACACACACAAAGAAGAAGAAAAAACCCTTCTATGTGGGTTTATAGGCTTTTAGTTAGAAACGTGTAATAGGTTCATGTGGGTTTTCTGAGGTGAAAGAAATTACAGGAGTTATGTGCAAAACCTTGACGGTCGATGCTTTTTTCTTTTTCTTTCTTCTTTTTTTTTTGGAAATTAATCGTTAGTTTTTCATATCATTGTTGTAAATAAAGAGGTGGGTTTTACCTGCTTGTGCTTGGCCACCATCTCCTTATTTTTTACTATTTTTCATTTTTATTTTTGTCGGCCAAGAAAAAATTGATTACATCATGCGGGGAGCATAAACCTTATACTATAAACAATAATATTCATTAGCCATTGAGGAGTTCTTCAAAACTGGAAAGTTACTATGAGTAATAAATTCTTCATCTGTAACTCTCACTCCTAAGGTCCAATGTCCTTCATCTCCATTAGACTTTAGACATATATCCTGTTGCAATTGCATCTATAAATTCATCTCCAAAATACTTGCAAATAGGATCCAAACTGTTATGGGGTATCTTATTAATGAAGCTCGGTGTGCATTTGTTAAAGGTAGGCTAATATCCAATAACATCCTTCTTGCTTATGAACTGGTTAAGAACTATGGCAGGAGGTATTTGTCACCGAGGATCATGATTAATATAGATATTAGAAAGCTTTCGACACTATCAATTGGAAATTCTTATTAGATATGCTCACAAGATTGGGGTTCCCTAATGTAATGACCAATTGGATAATGTCATCTATTTCTTCCCCGAAATATTCTATCTCCCTAAATGGCTCTCTTCATGGCTACTTTAAGGGTGAAAGAGGGTTAAGACTAGGTGATCCTTTCTCCCCTTATCTGTTTATCTTGGGTATGGAGTACCTATCAAGGAGCATTGGATTTGTTGAAGCATGACAGGAATTTCAAGTTCCATCCGAAATGCGGGAACCTGGAAATTTCTCACCTTATTTTTGCTGATGATTTGTTATTGTTTAGCAAAGGAGATCTATACTCAGTGCAAAAGCTTAACCAATGTGTCACAAACTTCAGTGCTGTAACTGGCCTTGATGCAAATCCTAGTAAGAGTGCCATATTCTATAGGGGTGTAAATGACCCTGTTAAAGCTTCAATCCAGAATTGTCTGGGTTTCTCTGAGGTAACTCTACCAATTAAGTATTTGGGTGTACCACTAGTTTGCAAGAGGTTATCCTTTGTTGATTGCAGTCCTCTCTTCAATAAGATCACTATCCAGTTTCAAAATTGGTTAACACACAGGCACCTATCCTATGCTGGTAGACTCCAGGTCATCAAAAGTGTCATACTGGGTGTTCAATTATTCTGGGCATTAAGCTACATATTACCAACCAAAGTCCTTCAAAGAATTGATGTGTTGTGTAGAAATTTCCTATGGGGGAAAGCTGATAATACATTCAAGTTCCCTCTTGTCTCATGGGACATAGTTTGTCAAGGAAAAGAACAGGGTGGCTTAAGAATATTCTCTGTTGTCACCTAGAACATTGCATCGGCCTTGAAAACCCTTTGGTATATCCATACAAATAAGGAGCTTCTTTGGATAAAGTGGATTCATGGCACTTATTTAAAAATAGGGATATCTGGCATGTTGAAATTAAAGTAGATGACTCATGGATGTGGAAGCAACTTTTGAAAGCTCGTGACAAAGTGTTGAACCTCTGTAGTGGAGTTACAAATCTGCAGCAACTTATCAGCTCCTGTCTTAGAAACTCAAAGTTACATCTATTGGCCTTATACTATGCCTTACTTCCAATAGCAACTAAGGTTTTGTGGCATGAAAAAGTTTGGGATAAATTAAGCTTTCCTAAACATGCTTTTGTTATGTGGTTGGCTTCTCAGGACAGACTTCTCACTCAGGATAAACTTCTAAGAAGAGGTATCATAAACAACAACCTCTGTACTGGAGCTGCTTTTGAATGCTGAAATCATTTATTTTTTGGTTGTAGCTTTTCAAAGGATATCTGGAATGGAATTACGGATTGGCTCCAATATAATAGGAGATCATATGACTAGTGTTTTCTCCTGAATTGGTATAACACCAGGTTGAAGGGGTGTGATTTTAAACAAAAAATCAAGAGAATGGCATTAGCGGCAACTGTTTATAGTATTTGGAGGGAAAGAAATGCAAGAATCTTCAAGAAATCTAGCAGGAGTGTTGCCCAATTGATTAGGGACATCAATGCGGATATACTGACTGTTATTCTCAATAGAAATCTGTAGGAAGTGTTAAAAGAAATGATGTTATCTCTGTAAACTGAGATGAAAGACTTTGTTTCCTTTTATCTTAGTTTTGTTTGGCAATGCTAGATATCTCAGTTTTGAGTATCTTGATGTACTCTCATGTCATAATTGGTGAATGAATAAAATCTTTTCATTGACAAAAAACAATAATATTACTGTTAACACTATTCTATGTGTGTCAGGTGGTACTTATCACGTGACTCATGCATATGATAGTATCATTCGAAGGAGTGTTTCTACAATTCTACTGCTAATGGTAATTAGCACCGGAAGATAAATTAATTTAAACACGTCAAAAGAATCAGAACAATATTAATATATGTTAATCACAGTAGTATACCAAAAAAGAAAAATGCTTTCAGCTGTGAAGAGATAGAAATAAGCGAAAACTTTACAACGTCAAAAGAATCAGAACAATATTAATATATGTGAATCACAATAGTATTACAATTTTTAAACATGATCCTAGTGTTGGATTAATTACAAATACACCCCATGCATGTATAATATAATATTAGTCACTTTCATGTGAGTGTTACATGACATCAATGTTCATAACGTAGACATCTGATATTTCAATGTGTTGCATAACAGCCATGAGTAGGGGCCAAAAGAGCTGGGCAAAACGCGTTTGTGGGCAAAGCGCATGAGCAAAACAAATTTGTGGCCCACCTGACTTTTGTGCATATATAAATCCTATTCGGTTCCTAGGGTTTTAGGCTAGGGTGTGCAAAAGTGAGGGGAAGAAAAAGCGGCGTGAAGGTAGAGGTGAGAAATTGGCTTCGGAAAAAGTGCAAGTAGCAGAGAGAAAACTGCAGGTGAT